CACAAGACTGTTGCACCATATAGTGAGTGTGATCCAGTACAAGAAAATGAACCTTTAATGATGAACCTTCTCTTTTAAGAAGAAGTAAAGATGTCAAGGACAGAGAAATATTTTGGAAATGGTTTATATACATATCTAATTATTAATGAACTTTTGATTGATTCACAAGCTGTTCTTAGAAATAAATAAAAAAAAATGGCTTGATGCTTACAAACTTTCAATTTCATCAAACGTATGTTAAAATTGTTTTTTTCTTAATGGAGAGCTAGAGGAAGAAATTTATATGGTGCAACCGGGGGTCATTTGGTTACCGGTCAGGAACACAAAGTGTGTAAGTTGATCAAATTTTTATATGGGTTGAAACAAGCTCCAAAACCATGGAATGGAAAATTTGACGTAGTGTTATTTATTTATGATTTACCTTAGTAGAAGTAGATAAGTGTGTTTGCACTAAATGTGAAAAGTTGTGTGCATTATTACTTGCTTGTATGTGAATGATATGTGTTTTGGGTATGAAAGTCATAAGGATGATAGTATTATGCTGAAAAACTACTAAAGAGATTTGGGCATTTCAATGTCATTCCGTGAGTATCCCGTATGACTCTCATATGCACTTAAAAAAAAATAGAGGTGATCTTGAGGCTCAATATGAGTATTCCCAAATCATACGAGGTCCAAAATAGCTTTTGCTGATGGGGAGCATTGGAATGATTGGACTGTGTTGAGGCGGTTATTGAGATATTTGAGAGGTACCACTAATGATGGTATATTTGATTGAGATTATCCGTTGTAATCTATTGATACAATGATGATATGTTTCATTAAGAAATAACCATTGTAGAGCGGTACCATGATGTTATATGAAAATTATCCATTATGCTATAATGGTACAATGATGGTATATATTGAGAATTATCCGATGTACTAGAGGCTCACATTGATGTTATATTTTATTGAGAATTATCTGTTGTATTGCCGGGATACAACGACGACATTTGAGTATACTCACATGAGACAAATTAAAATAGTGGATATCCATTCACCCTTAAAAATGGTGCAATGATGTTTGAGAATGGAATTATTTCCATTAATTTTGTGAAGTCAGAAGGAATTAGCTACTCCTTTGACAGAATCCCTAGGACGAAAAATGATAACCGAAACATCGAAGGAAATGGGACTAGTGTCACTTGAAACAAATGGAAACGGGAACCCAACTTGTGTGATTGGAGATCCCATGAAGCAAGTTCAAATGGATAATAACAAGTCTTCCATTTAGCTTCCATTTAGTTCTGCTAGCCTAACAAAAATACCCCATTTCCATGATGTGAGATATATGCTGGAAACCGCATTCTTTGAGAGGGTGAGCTAAAAGCTCTTAATGATTATCATAGTCCTTAACTTAAGGGGTGGTGTGCAAAAGCGGTACACACATGATGATATCACCTATATGAGTGTGAGGTGGGGCCGCCTCCATGAAGCATGACAAAACTTCTAGAGCACTCATGAAAACCAAGCACGCGCATGGCCTTACGGCGCACAACGGCGTAATAACGAGAAATTGTGCGGGGTGAGACACAACCGTTAAGACCCTGATTTACCAATAGTAGCTTGTTGGTTCAATAAACTATACGTTTAACCAAAAGCTCGGTTTATTAAGACTTAATCGTCTCGGTTTGGTTCAAGTCTACGAACACCAGATTTAAAGTCTCATTCTTTTAATCCAGCAGTATTTTTTCTAAAATATTCATTTGAAATATGTGGGGGATTGTTGGAAAAATAAGAGTATTTCAAATGAATAAAATATCACAAAATAGTATTTGTGATAAAAATGTTAGTTAATAAATATTTATTGAGTATTTTTTCAATGATAACGTTAAGCATGTTCATTTTGTTTGAGAAGTTTACAAAACCTATTTTGGTAAATGTTCAACTCTTGAACATTAAGTTCTTAAAGCAATAATAAATGTAAAATGCTTAACGTACAGCTCAACTTTAATCTAACTTTAATCTAATTTAATGATGAACGTTTTTTACCTGAGAGCAACGTTTGGCTTTTCTATCAGTCGTTGGAAATCTGGCCAGCAACGTTCATATTGCTCATATATATGTGTGTTCGGCCATGGAATGAAGGTAGCTAGAAATAGATTAAGTATTTTTGAGCTAAAACATCCCCAAATATTTTCACTCTGCTGGATTAATATTATTTTCTACTCTCGTTGTTCTGTGACCGGCTTACGCCGAAGAGCTCGTTATATCTTGGGGAAAGATTTTCGCTAGTCAGAAATACTTTCTTGAGGACAGCGTCTGACGCGTCTCGAGCTAGATTATTTTTCTAACGTTTTATTTTGCAGGTTTATCCGGCCAATTCCTCCAACATGTTCAACCTAAGTCTTGAAACGTGACTTAATCCCACAGACTTCCTACCTCTTTATACTTCACCACACAAATTCCAGAATCACCTCATGTCCAATTACTATAAAAGTATAAATTGAAAGTGTGTTCATTTACTCTCATAAAAAGTCAAGAGTTCCGCTGCTGATTTCAAGCCACACAAAACGTTTAAGAATCAACTCTCAAAGAGGGAAAGGGACTCAAAACAAAAACAAAAGATTTAAAAGTCTATTCACCCCCACCCCCTCTAGACTTTTACCTCACTAAGGACCATCAAAAGGATTAGATGGAGGAGTTTGGAAAGGATGGGTCACCCACACAGTGAAGGAGGTTTGGGTTTTCTCGGGTAGTCAAAGATTTTAATTTAGCTATGTTAGCTAAACAGGCATGAAGGCTGATGGTGGATGAATGAAGTCTTGTGAGTAGAATTTGTAAAGAAAAATACTATCCCAATTCTTCCTTCTTGAGTGCTCAGATGGGGAATAATTCTTCTTAGATATAGCATATAGCAGAGTATTATGGTGCTTTGCAGGTCTTGTAAAGAGGAGGAGTCAACAACGCACATTTTCAAAGGTTGTGTGGCGGCTACTGATGTGTGGCGAGAGGCGGTTTGGGGACAATATAATCTGACAGATAATTTTGAGGCATGGATCAAGACAAATTTGGAGGGGAATGACAAAGATCGATGTGGTCGGATTATTGCTATTTTATAGTCTGTGGAAACGGAGGAACAATCTTGTCTGGAAAGGTGAGAACCAAGGCAGTTTGGCAATAGTAAGAAGTGCAGACACTATGTTAGGGGCTTGAGGCACCCCAAATGAAGCATCGGGTGGGAGATAAAAGAAGTGTAATGAAGCATCGGGTGGGAGATAAAAGAAGTGTTATAGGGGCGGCAAAGTAGCAAAAACCTAGAGTGTGGGTGGTCAAAGTGAATATCGATGTTGCAGTAAATGGAATCAGGGCGTGGAGTTGGGTGGCCAGAATGGACCAATGATGCTTCATAAATGTGTAAAGCAGATCTTGGAGTAGTCATTGGAGTCCAGCTGAGTCGGAAGCACTTGGAATTAGAGATGGGAGATGGTGGAATTCGAGTAAGATGCACTACTAGTCGGTAATGGTGTGCGAGGTATGCAGGGTGGGTCGTATATCGATCTGATTTTTGAAAATTAGGAGTGTGTTTAGTCTCTCTTGTTGTAGAAGGTCTGCAAACCATCTTGCTCATACATTCGCTAGGAAATGTTTGTTATTACTAGACCAGTTTAGATATTTTGATGTTATTCTAGATAGTGTTGTAAGTCACATGGCGAACGATTTATTGGATTAATGATATGATTGTATTTTGCTTAAAAGTAAATATCAAGTTTAAAAAAGTGAATGTATCCATGGATCTCGTGATTTTCGAATACCCGGGTCCGACAGGGTTAGTGATTGGCCCGCATTTCTAGGCTGGTGGGCGGGTTCCGGTCAGTACGAGTGATCCGGGTCAACTAATTCTCACACGGTTAGAGAACTATGTTCAACAATTGACATTTGACAATGTTTAATTTATTAGTGAATTAACTAAATAGGACAAAAAATGGCCAAAGAGCACAAATAGGATTGCATGTTTGGACAAATATACGTTGTAGCTTCTAAAATGTTTTTTTTATTAATAATAAAATCGTAAAAAATAATCAAAATAATAAAAAATAATAAAAATCATAAAAAATAATAAAAAATCCGTATAATATTTATAAAAAAAGTAAAAATAAATTAAAAAATTAAAATAATTAAAAACATAAAAAACACCGTCGCCTCTGCCACCCCCAACTCCCATCACTAGAGGAAATTTGCCAACATTTTTAGTAATGCCACAGTAATGGCAGATTCAATGAAAATTTTAACATTATGAAGAGTAATAATGTCATTTTCTTGACACTTTCTGAAAAAAAAAAAAGACATTTTTTCAAAAATGTCAAAATTTTTACCAATCAGAGGTGGTGGTGCTGCGAGGTGGTGGGAAAGGTATCTATACTTTTTATGAGTTTTTACTATTTTTTAATTAATTTTTAATAAAAATACAAAAAAATATTTTGAATTTTTTATTTTATTAATATTTTGTTTATTTTTTAATTTTTTAGGATTTTTAAAACTTTTTATGATTTTATATTATTTTTATGATTTTATGATGAATTACATTATAAATTATGGCATAATACTCTTAGAGATATTTATGGTAGAATTTTTTTCTTTTTTGAAAGTTTTATGGTAGAAAATTAGAAAATACTCCCTCCGGTTTTTATTAAAATTCACACTTTCCTTTTGGGGACGGTCTAAAATAAACTTCACATTTCCTTATTTCCTTTTTTGGCAAAGAAATCTACATCAAAACAGTGTCAAACAGTGTCTCAACCGTGCCAAACAGTGTCTCAACAATGCCAAACAGTGTCAAAAAGTGCTTTAACAGTGTACACTATAGTAAAGTCAAATTTCTTTCCTTATTTTGTGTGAAGTCAAAGTGTGAAATTTAATAAAAACCGGAGGTAATAATATTTAGTCTTATTTGTTTTTTGGGAATCTTTAATCGGTAATTTCAGTTAACTTATATGGGCGGAGCGATTTTAAAGGGTGCCGTAGAAATTAAGCAACGTCCTATCCTAATTATATATAGTCGTCTTCATTCTTCGCCCATCAAGGAAGTTCTGGGATCACCCGTAGACCGTAGTCATCATCTTCATTCTTCACCCATCGAGAAAGTTCTAGGATTAGCCGCCATGGCAGAGCCCTCGAAAAGTTGGGCTGATGAGGCAGATGAATCTGAGTCTAGCTCTGAAGTTGCAATTGCTTCTTTGGCGTTGAGTGAATCCAGTAATGTCAACCAATCCATCTCTAACCCTGACGACGACAGTATCCAAACCGTAAGTTCACTTCTATTTTAAACCGTATCAATTTCTAATAACTGTTATGTTTATTTGGGTTAATTAAATGCTATCTGAGTTCGGTTTTGGTGAATTAGGTTACATCTGGGGACACACTGTATAAATCTGCTAAAACATTCGAAGACTTGAACTTGTCACCGGAATTGTTGAGAGGATTATACGTGGAGATGAATTTCGAGAGGCCTAGTAAAATTCAGGGCATATCTTTGCCAATGATTCTAACTCCACCCCATAAGAATCTGATCGCCCAGGCTCACAATGGATCTGGAAAAACAACATGCTTTGTGCTGGGAATGTTGAGCCGAGTTGATCCTAGACTCGGTGCCCCTCAGGCTCTCTGCATCTGCCCCACTAGAGAACTTGCCATTCAGGTGTGTACATATTAGCTGTATTTTTTCACTACGATATTATCTGACTGAACCAGAGTATACAAATATTTAATAGAGTATCATAAGCACAACATTGATAAAGTTGCCAATTCAAATGCATCATGTGATTTATGCATTCTGGATGCCATTTGTTCATAAAATTGGCTCTAGATTGGAGTAAAACATAACACGTGTATCTAAATGGGAGCCTTTAATCTTTTATCCCTCAATAGGATTGTTATGTCATATTACTCATATACGTATACTTTTTCCCCAAAAACACCAACACTCTTTGACAATGTACGTGGTGGCAGAGAAATATAACGACAATACTAATAACAGTAGAGGGGCAATGTCATGAGTTAAGTGTGTTATGGGTAACAATGTTATTCATGTCAGTGTTAGAAGTAACAATGTCAAGAGGGGCAATGTCATGAGTTAAGTGTGTTATGGGTAACAATGTTATTCATGTCAGTCTTATAAAATTTCACCACAGCCTAACAACATGGCATCCACCACCAGAGGCAGCGAATTGTTGTAAAAAAGCATTGTTGTTCTTTAATTTTGAATGAGGCTTAGTCATGTTCAATCATCCTATTTTCAGTCCTATATAAGTTTAAAACTTAGATAATCTTATTTAGGTATTTTGCCTATGTTTACTCCTGTTAGATCTTTTCACTTTTGTTAAATGTTTTGGTGTTCAGTTGCCTTCAAAATGCTTTATGTGATCATAGTCGTGTTCTATTGGAAATTTGGGATTTTTCGGTTCTAAACCATATCAAAATCACCGACTTAACTTGCAACTCATTTTGCTACAACTAATACCATACCAAACTTGGAATACACCACAGCACACCAGAACAAATATTTTACCAAAAGAATAGGTCCTTATAATAATCAATTTTATTTATGTGTTATAGTTCTACTACCTCCGTCCCAAAATAAATCTTTCACTTTCCTTCTTGGATGTCCCAACTTCCATTAAATTCTTCGCATTTCCTTTTATGGAGTGATTTGTGTAGCTATCATTTATTTACCCTTTTTCTAACTCAATTACAATCTTACATTTCCACTTTAATCCTGCTGTATTAATAAAAAGTGTGCCAAGTTAAACTGGGAAGTATTTTTGGGATGGAAGGAGTACATAATTACCGATTTGGATCTCTATTGTCTTTGACAATTTATATCACAGGTCAGTCGATAGAGTTACAAACATAAGACTTGAAAATGTATTAATAGATGTGTATCAGATGATGAAATTAAAAATAAAATTAAGAAAAAACACTGCACCCATTTGTTGCCTCATTCTGTTGAGGTTTTGCCAGTTTTGCTGCCTCACTTTATGCTTAGAACTTCCACATGTAAGAATTTAATGTTAACAAAGAGGTGTGAAAAAAGGGGGGTGAAACTGTCAATTGACATATCAAACTGTAATATAGTAAACTATTTTCTTTCTAACTATCTCTTGGATTCTGTTGCAGAATATGGAAGTTTTGTTAAAGATGGGAAAATATACTGGTATAACATCAGAACTGGGCATACCACCAAGCAAGGACAACTATGTTCCAATTAATAAGCGACCCCCTATTACAGCTCAAGTCATAATTGGTACCCCTGGGACAATAAAAAAGTGGGTTGTTGCTAAGAAATTGGGCACAAGTTGCATGAAAATTCTGGTATTTGATGAGGCGGACCACATGTTAGCAGAGGTAATTGTGCTGTTCTATTTCTGCATGATGGTCAATATGTTGTCAGCCATCATATGAACCTCTATTTTGATCTCCTTTCTAAAAGAAACAGATAGTGTCTGGTATCCAAAAGTTTGCTGCAGGCAGATATTTATTTTTTGAATTTAGCATACATGCAATTTAGGTTGCTCTTTTATTATCCAAAAATGCTGCCACAGTTCGTACTTTTTTCCCTGTCTAGTTTATGCATCCCAATCAGCACAAGTCAAGTAATATGTTTTATATAATTGAATATTGAATTTTTACAAAACACGCGTGGATGCCTTTTCATGAAACAAGAATTTTCTTTTGAATGTAATTTCTTCTCTTGTTTGCTCTCACGTTGTGCACGTGTCTTTAAGGTTTTACTCAGCACGTGGTGCTTTTTAAACATCATGCTTTAGTAAGTTTAGTTTTCTGTCAAATGAGGTTCTGAACTATTATGTGGTTATCCGCTTTTGAGTGCCAGTATTTTACATGGTCAAGAAAAGTGGAGCATTTCCCTGTTTGAAGAACCTTATTGAGCTAATTCAACAACCAACTGAACTACCAAAATGAATAAAAAACGTGGCACACATGAATTACTTTTTGAAAGGTGTTTGATTAAATTGGTTGAGGTAGAGGACAAATTAATTGCTTTTCAAGGATTCTTGACGTGTTAATTGTCCTAACTGATATTGGTTCCCAAAACAAAGGCAACTCACATATCTGATCTATCTTCCAATGCAGGGTGGCTTTCAGGATGACTCTATAAAAATAATGAAGGCCATTGTAAACGGCAAAGCCGATTGCCAGGTCAGAGATCAAAACATTCTACTAAGGAATTATAAGTTATAGTTTTTTAAGAATCAATTTTCCTCTATATGATGCAAGTAACTCAACTAAACCTTAGAATCAATCATCTTTGGTTTGTGAAAACTAAAAAACCTTGGATTATATATTTATATATTATTGTGTAGTTGATTGTAGAATGTTGTGTTTCTATGTATACAACAACAATACAACAATATCCAAGCCTTAATCCCAACAATTTGGGGTCGGTTATATTGGAGAAAATACTAAACAGAGAAAAAGGAGAAACAAAAACAGATCAATCCTTAAGCCGAATACTCTCTCGCTCTCTACTCCGCTCTTTCCAAAGTCATACACTCATACTCATATCTAACTGAAGAAGTACTATATAATTTTTGACCTCTCTAATTCACATGTCTAGCCCGCTCTCTCCCTTGCCTCCCATGCCTCCTCTCCCACCTCTCAAATTGTCTAACAACTGCATCATTTCGTATTCTACACATATGGACAAATCGGTGCAGTCCAGACTCTTGCATCTTATCTTCAACATGTGGTACTCCCACTTTTGGCCTCATTTCTTAAACAGTCTTTTCTAGTATGTCCACACATTCAAAGCAACTTTCACATCTTAGCCGCACTCATTTTTTAATATAACATTGTTTTACCGTCCAACACTCTACGCCATACATTAATGCACGTGTAATTGTTGTGTGATAAGTTAAATCTGCATACCTTTATCACATATAAATCTTGACACATTCTTCCATTCATCCACCCCATTTTGATTCTATAGGATTAGGATACATCATCTTCATCTAATTTGCCATCCTGAGTTATATTTATATGTATATTGTAGTTAATCAGGCATGCACGTTTCTCTAGAAAAAGAGGTGCATACCTTTTCTCACGATTAAACAATTTCCCTCCAGAAGCTTTTCACTTTTAAAGTCAGGAATTTGATTTTTATGATGACATTATATTATTGTCATACACTGTCAGGTGCTCTTGTTTTCTGCAACTTTCAATGAATCTGTCAAGAAGTTTGTTAAGAAAATTGTCGAAGACCTCTTTGTAAAAGATTACAACCAGCTTTTTGTGAAGAAGGAAGAACTTTCATTGGAGTCTGTCAAGCAGTATAAGGTGCAATGTCCCGATGAGCTTTCAAAGGTCATGGTGGTTCAGCATAAAATACTTGACCTGGGTAAGAAGGTGGGACAGACAATCATATTTGTGCGATCAAGGAATAGTGCTAAAATGTTGCACGAATCACTAGTGGAACTAGGCTATGAGGTAACAACAATTCAAGGTGCTCTGAACCACGAAGAGCGGGACGCTATTATTAAGGAGTTCAAGGAGGGGCTAACACAAGTTCTTATATCAACGGATCTTCTTGCTCGAGGATTTGACCAATCCCTGGTATGCATTGCACAGTACTACTTGTGAAGTCCGAATGGCATCAGGTAACCCCAATCATATGGTTTAATTGGTGTTTAGGTGAATTTGGTCGTGAATTATGATCTTCCAGTGCAATATGAGCATCCATCTGAGCCAGACCATGAAGTGTACTTGCATAGGATAGGTAGAGCCGGTCGTTTTGGGCGAAAAGGTAACTCCCACTTTAAACTTTTCCCTCATGAATGCTTTAGTGCTTGTTATCAAATTTAGGGTTGTGATTCGTGAACACTCATCTTTTGACATTATTATTATTACTTTTATTATGACATAGGTGCTGTTTTCAACTTGCTTTGTAACGATAAAGACAAAATGCTGATGTCCAAGATTGAGAGCCACTTTGACAGTCCTGTGGCTGAGGTATTACATCCATTCTTCCCTATTCCTGACATGATTATTTCCATATTACGTGTATCGATTGACTCGGTTTTTTGTTTTGTTATGTGTTTTGTATACGTAGTATATAATTTGGCTTCAATAAAGACTATCTAGGTGCTAGGCCCCGCTAACTACTTAGATGCGGGGATGATCCTTTATTTTACTGGGTCAAAATCAAACTTCCAAAAATAGACCTCTTTTTCCCCTCTCTGTAGAGATAGAAAACATTACATTGGAGAGGGGTCTGAATTGTGTTTTGCTTTAAGAACACAGTTAGATAGATGTTATGTATGGCTGATTCTTTATTTACATCAAACAATACAGGTCACCTCTTGGGAAAGTGACGAAGACTTCGAGGCTGCTTTGAAGACCGCTGGTCTGCTCTAAGCGCGGAATGTTTGGGTGCCTTGATTGCACTTTTGTTGTTACGGCTTGCGCTGCAAATGGAGTTTTTTGGTTGATGTTATATAATCTGTAGGATCATCTACTTTACTGAACATATAGATAGATTTACTTCATCCAATCTCCCTGTTTTTTCTTATATTGCTTGAAATGGCGGAGTCATAATTGACTCATTGTTTTTAAGATGGCTTGATTTTGAATTGAGCTGAAGTTTATGATTCCCTTCTCTGTAAAATTGATATGTAAGACTATTAATTTGTTTATTTTATATTTATGATTGAGCGTGGGTCAAATTTTGTGTTAGATTTGTTTCCGTCCTACTCGACCTGGGTAATGACTAGGGGTATGGGTAGGCATGGACCCGGTTCGGGCCGCCCGGCCCGCCACTGTGTGAGCCTGGAACCGGCCCGGTTCTCGGGTCCGGGTCCGGGTCGGGCCTAGGCCCGGTGGGGTGGGCGGGTCCGGGCTCGGGCCTTGTATTTGGCGAACCGGTCGGGCCCGGGCCTGGGCCGAATTGATTTTTTTTTTCTTTTTTTTTCTTTTTTTGGGGTTAGCCAAGTTGGGCTTGATGGTTAGGAAGGGTTTGGGGGTTTGGGGGGTGGGAGGGTGAGTGGGGGGGGGGGGTTAGGAAAGCAAAAGAAAAAAAAAATTATGACCGAACCGGAGGCCCGGCCCGGCCCGGACCCGGTGGCCACCCGGGCCGGTCCCGGGCCTTCCTTCCCCAAAAAAAAGCCCGGCCGGGCCCGGCCCGGAATCGGCCCGGCCCGGGTCCATGACTAGGTATGGGTGGACTCGGGCCGGTTTGGACCCGGGCCGGGCTTCCGGTTCAGGAATGGGGGGCCCGGAACCAGCCCGTGTAATCCCCGGTTCCGGGTCGGCCCTCGGCCCTCGGGCCTTAGTTATTTTTTCTCTCTCTTTTCCTAGTTCACCCCCCAACCCTCCCCCTCACCCCCAAACCACCCAAAATACCTAGCCCAACAAAAAAAAGTAAAAAAAATTGAAAAAAAAAAACAAAAAATTAAAAAGGCCCGGAACCGGGCACGAACCGGCCGGACCGGTTCGTGATTTGGGGGGCCTGAGCCCGGACCGGACCCCAGCGGGTCGGGCCTACCCGGACCGATCACTGACCAGGCCACTGGGCCGGGCCGGAACAGTGCCGGTTCGGGCCACCCGGCCCGAGTCCAGGCCCAAGTTAATGACAAATCGGCCCAGTCAACCCGGAAACTAGCAGTTTGAGCCCAAAACTTTGCTGGTTAATGAGAAATCATAAATAGGTGAAAGCCAATGAATGTCGGTAACCGCGTGAGGCGTGGTCCAGACTCAGGCCGGTAAAATTTGAGCAACCTTGCTAAACCTGGTTTCGTATGTCAAGGACTCAAGGGGTGATTCGGTACGGCATACCTTATATTTTTTCTCATACCTTTGTCGTACCAAAACTTTCGGTATGCAAAATTTGCATACCTTTACCTTACCGAAGTTTCAGTATACCGCATTTCGATATACCGAAGTTTCGGTTCGGTAACGGTACGGTATCGGTAAATTACCGTGCATGTCTCCCAATATAAAAAATTATCATAGACTAACGAAATATATTAAATCGTTATTACTAGCGACATATTAAATCTATTATTAAAATGTTACGAAATACAATTAATAATCTATTGATGTCAATTCGATATTAAACACTAATTATTATTACCCCCTCCGTCCCAATTTGTTTTGCAAAGTCAACATTTTTCGGTCAACCAATAATAAAAGTCAATCCTCCCTATTGATGATTGAATCAATTTTTAATAATTAAAATTTACATATTCATAAACTACATTAAAACCTCTTCAAAGTTGTAAACAACATGTATATAAAATCATTTATTCCTAATATGATATTGTGTATTTAGTCATTTTTATAATTTTTTAAAAATTGAATAAGACTTTCGGACAAAGTTGTGTGTCTCGACTCGCCGAATCCATATGTAGATACACTTGTCACATAAGTGTATTTCTCTTCACTCGTCAGCTACTTAGCGGCCCAACCATCACGACTTGCAAGCTATTGGAACAAGATGGACTTGTTTCTTGACATTTGTACATTACTCATTAGTCATTAAGGTTAGCGTAGTAGAAACCTATAAGGTTATAGTGGGTTTGAGAAATTTGGTCTTTATTTTGTATTTTTGTATTTGTAACCAACTTAAGTATTAATTTTGGGCTTCAAAATTGTAATGAATTTTTACAATAAATTAGAATTAAAAGTAATTGTTGAGTAGGGAGTCGGTACGGTATTATAACGGTATACCGCGGTATTTGAAAACATTTACCGTTACCGTACTGAAAAAGATCGGTACGGTATGATACCGTACCGAAAATGACGGTATACCAATATTTCGGTATTTTCTGGTATTTTTCGGCACGGTAAGTGCGGTATAACCGATTTTTCGGTATTTTTTGCCCACCCCCTACGTATGTGTAACGACTAGAACTATGTATGTTGTTAAAAAAAAGAGATTTATACAAATTTATAATTTCTCACCATGTAGTTCATCATAAAAACTTCATCATATATCTTCAAGAATTCATTTGAATGCCTTCCCGATTGAAATTTTAGCTGAAATTTGGTATGAGTAAACTAGACTTGATGAATAAGATGTTAAAAAAAATTCATCAAAAAATTCCACCGGGAACCACCCCAAATGGCGACGGCCGGACAGAGTCTCCTAAATAAGGGCTTATTTGACCTTTTTTGGTTAGTACATGCGCCTATTTGCACCTTTTCCCTTTATTTAAAATAACCATGGAGTAGATTTAAAAAAACTAATAAATAGTCACATGGAGTAGATTTTTTAAATGGAGTAGATTTAAAAATAATAATAAATAGCCATAGTTAAAATACTAATACTAAAAATATATGAATTTATATGTGTACTTGCATCAATATACATATCTTAAAAATCATAGTGTTATTAATTATTTAAAATAAATGTAAACATATTTTTTAAACTTTTTCCAGGACTTATTAAAAATAAAAAGAAATAAAATTTATTTAAATATATAAACTTTTAAATTCATTTTTTGACGTCATTATACGTTTGAAAAGGTAATTGCATATTTTATGTTATTTACATTGTATTTCAAAACGCTAATGAAAACGGTTAGTTAAAAAAACTTACGGAATCCGCTAATATCAATCTGCTGATACAAGTCATACAACCGGCTATGAGCTAGCAAACAACCGCTATTATCAAACACAGTCGTTGACATTTTTAGATATCCACTTTTGATGACAAAATCAAAGTAAAAGGACGACAAATGTCAATTTCACAATACTTATAATATGAAATGTCGGGAATTCTAAAGTCGGGGATAAAAAGTTTGTCACTCTCATAAAATTGACCAATTTGTCACTATGTTTTTTTACCAATTTGTCTCAATTGTTTTTTTTACCAATCTGTCCAACAACAATATTTTTGAATTTCAGTGGAATACGTACCTATATCTTTTAACATCTTATGAATGAAGTCTCAACAAGAGTTTTAGAACTCTATTATCTTTCAAGCGAGATAAAAATGTTTGAAACGGATAGTAATAATAACTTTTTCAAAAAATAACAATAGCAGGAGTAACAACAACAACAACAATAATATTACTCCCTCCGTCCCTGAGAATTGTTCCATGTTTCCTTTTTGGGCCGTCCCAAAAAATTGTTCCCCTTTCCCCTTTTGGAAAGTTTTTTGTGGCTACAATTCATTTACCTTTTTCTTATTCAACCACAACCATACATTTCCACTTTATTCCCACTTTCTTAAACTCCGTTCCAAGTCAATGCGGGAACAATTTTCCGGAACGGAGGGAGTAATATACTTAGTAAAAAATGATAATGATAATGATAGATGATGACGATGAGTCGATGACAATGATGGTAACGGTGACGGTGGTGATGATGATTGATGATGATGATATTATAGTAATAATAATAATAACAATCTGTTATATATAAATACGTGTAGATCTTTGGGAAAAATACGGAAAAAGTACTTGTGGTTGGGCTCGTTTTCAGATAGGATCACACGTTTCATTCTTTATCATAGTGGTTCATGTGTTTGAATTCCGTTATCACAATAGGGTCACACCGTTAAAAACGTCTAAAAAGACCGTTAAAAGTAACTCCGATTTTCAAAAGTGCCTGAAAAATTGAAACAAAAATACGGAAAGATGCGCCTCGTCAAGATGACCTCCAAACCACATTCACCTTTGTATTTTTCAAATCTGTTTGAATTATTTTTTAAAAATGATTTCGCTAATATCACTTTTCCGATGAACTTTCCGGTGACAAGGGCGGCTGAAAACAAAAAAGAAAGATGGCTTAGCGGTCGTCTTATTGAGGCGCACCTCCCGGTATTTTTCTTTTAATTTATCGGTAATTTTGAAATTCGGAGTTACTTTGAACGATCTTTTTCAGACGTTTTTAACGGTGTGACCCTCTTGTGATAACGGAATTCAAACACATAAACCACTTTGATAAAGAATAAAACATATATATGACCCTATCTGAAAATGGGCACAACCACAAGTACCTTTTTCGTACTTTTCCCTAGATCTTTTAAGGGGTATGTTTGAAAAAAAAAACGAGTTTCAACTTTTGACTAAAAAAATGAAAAACGTGTTTTTAAGTGCATGATAGCTTCTGCGCCAAGGAGGAGGTCACAAGTTCGAAACACAACCCAATCAAGGATGTGTTTCGAACAAAAAAAGCGTCAGTTTCTGCTTAAATTAAACATTTAAAAGCTAAAAGTTAGAATCTACTTTTTTTTCTATTACACAAAACATATATTTTATCAAAAACTATCAACTTTTATTTTGCAAAATCAATTTTTTTCAAACACTACCAACTTTTACTTTTAACCATTTTTCCAAAACTACTTTACAAAGTGATTCTTTTAAAGCACAGACAATTACAAACAATCCCTAAATTTGCCATGAAAAATAGGCAACATCTCAATTATTTGCAGTAGTGCCCTGAAAATTAGGCAACATCCCAATTGTTTGCAGTAGTCACTTTCATTCTTCACCCACCAAAAATTACATGTCATAAACATATCTTTCACACGGTTGAATTGAATATCATAATGGTTGCCTCATCCATCAATAGCACTAGATAAATGACATGAGTTTTGATACACATTTTGTGTACATATGTCTGTCCTTCATAAAAATTTGTCTGTCACAGACAACTCAAAAACAGTTGTATGTGACCGACAAATTTCTGCAAAGACAGACATATGTACAAATTTTGTGTACACATAATGT